CTTTAACACAGACAAATCATCTATTCCATTTGCTAAACTTCGTACGTTAATCAAGTGAGTGAATATCTAACAAAGATTTAATAATGTGCGTCATTAGTTATATTTCAACTATACAAAAAGAAAAATTAGTTAAGAAAGCGTTCTAGATGTGACTTTCCAAGAACATCTTTAGAAGATCTTCGCGAGACTCGTGTAGATCATTCTTTGGAATGAAATCGTTAAAACTTCATGAAATCTTCTTTCTTTTTAGTTTTAAAACATGGCACAGTCATCTTTTCTTTCATTTATTGTTTTTACTTGTCTTCTTGTTTTGCAACCGTCCACGATCGAATGTCGTCCTCGCACTCAACGAATTGTTATTCACGGTCATGAATGGACAGTACCAAACGAGTCGGGCTGGCAAGATGGTCAGTGTCAATTTTGTTTCTCTTCCGATAGATCATTTTTTCCATTGTTTTAGTTCTACAAGAGGCGGAATCTATTCGGAATCGATTGTTAAGCAATTGTGCTACAAGTCGAGAATGTCGATTAGCGGCGGAACAAATACGAAAAGTTTTCTTGAATCACCCTGTTTCTTCGAAGTATTACGACGATGCTTCAGATAATGATCCTCCCCGATATGAAACAGCATCGATTTTCAAATGGGGATAACTTGCTATTGCCAAATATGTGATCTCGCAAATTCTTATCAAGTATGTCTGACAAGAAATCTTTTCAAGAGTTTATCTTGTTTATTTATAATAATAATAATAAATCTTATCACCGACATGGAATGAAAATGTTTTATACTAGAATTCGAATTTTGTTTTTCTATATATAAATCCTAATTATAATAAAAATTCATCGATTCAAATCAGTTCTCTTACATACCCAAGCCTAATCAGCTACGAAAAGTTAAGTTTCTTTCTTGAGACATTTTATAATTTATCTCATTCACGGAACATCAAGTCGTACTGACCTGTTTCATACCTTAAGACGCATTATGCACAACGATTACTATATAAACATTATTAATCTTTCCAGCCAACGATGTTTTAATCCCAGTTTTAAAATGTATTTCTCATTCGTATATAAAAGAATTCACCGATTTTCACGCGAGAATTGGACCGCGAGTATAATACGAACAACAACGAAACAACGATTTCATATATTCGCTAATATCAAAACTCATCTGTATATAAAACATGTACAGGAAATGAGTTGCTATTGTTGCATAGACAATTGATGATTTGAGAGGGCGTGAAAAGATTCAATAGAGATTATCAAACTTGCCTATGAAGAACATACATGTTTGTGCTTGCTGTTTCTGGATGTCAAAAAAGTCAGACAACTTGATTATTACAGTTACGATTGTCATATTTGCTTTTCATCAGAACATGTTTGTTTTGCTACAATTATGATTTGGAATAGTAGTTTATTCATTGAACAAATTCCAATCAAAGTCAGGCAATACGAAAAAATACAACATCATTTAATGTTTGCTTTAATTTGATTCAAATTGAAGAAAGAATCAGTGTCGAGTGGTGCAAAAAAGTTGCTCAGATAACTTGAATAGCCATTGAGTAACAAGAAGACTGCAGAAATCTACGTTTTCTATATGTCATCCATATAAAAAACATTAGGAGTTTTTTATGGAATTTATTATTCATATTTTCTCTCTTCAAAGCATCTAATGAGATTGTATGTAAATATATTCGTTCTTTTTCAAATACGCATAAAACTCAGTAGTTAATTTCGCCATAAAATAAATCGATCCGAATGGAAAAAGTAAGAACGGTCGCATGTATTAAAAGAAGTTTATTTTCTATTTCTTCGCATTTGTCTTGTATTTTTCGTTCCTTTTGCTAGTCATGAGTTTTGTCCTAATTATGAAATAATGATACGAATAACCCAATTATTCATCTATCAAAAAGGGAAAAATTGTTTCTCTTTTTACTTATTGCAGTGATGACAGAACACATATGAAGTAAACGAAAGAATATATTTTATCTTATAATTCGTTTTCGCTCACTCAGCAATTTAGATATTCTTATCCAGTACTTGTAAGATACTAAATTCGATGATTTTGTATCGACTTCAGATATGTCAGCACCAGTAACGACGTACCAAGCATTGCTGACTACTCAATCTCCCACATTGCCGGTCTATATTATTACAAGTTTTACTGTATTAAGTATTTTGTTAGTGTCATACTTACACATGTAATACTTACTTTACTTGTAGCTACCACATGGCCAACTATGCAGTACACTAGCCAAACAACTGCTCTCATGTCGAGCCAAGCGACAACAGGTAGCAGTACCGCAAGTAGTCTAACTACAGGCGGAATGTCCACAAGTATCATATCGACTATAATCGCAACTAGTATAATGACTACAGTTGAAATGACTACAGTTGGAATAGCTACAGTTGGAACAACTACAGTTGGAACAACTACAGTTGGAATAACTACAGTTGGTATGACTACAGCTGGAACAACTACAGCTGGTATAACTACAGTTGGAACAACTACAGCTGGAATGACTACAGTTGGGACAACTACAGCTGGTATAACTACAGTTCGAACAACTACAGTTGGTATAACTACAGTTGGAACAACTACAGTTGGAGCAACTACAGCTGGAATGACTACAGTTGGGACAACTACAGTTGAAATAACTATAGTTGGTACTACTATAAATAAGACAGCAGCTATCACTGTAACAAATATAGTGCCTGCAAGTAGTATAACTACGCGTGAAGCGATTACAAGTACGCCATTAACCATCATGACGTCAAGCAGAATGACTACGGACGGAATGACGACAGGCGGGATGACTACAGGTGAAATGAGTGTAAGCGGGATATCTACACGTTTGACATCAACTATCGTGACAACACACAAAATGACTACAATTATGACTACAACGTCAGTACCACAGCACAACTTTTCACTATGGAATCCTGATACTTGCAATAGCGCCAACTTTATTAAGCTATCCAATAATACGTGTGTACCAAAGCAGGATGCACAAGTATGATGAATATAATTTTGCCGAATTTAGAAATGATCGGTTTTGTCTCTTACGTATGTAGGTCATTGGTTGTGGTCTCGTACATAATCGATCTGCGAGCGATGAGTACATAGCCTATGGAATATCTCTATATATCAGTTCAACTACTAATTCGACTACTGCACGAAATAATACATGTGTTTTGACACCGAGTGAAATCGACGATGCACTTTATAATCGCACAACAACGAACTTACTGATCAATTCCTATACATCATTAGTTATGATTCAGCAACCACATCGTGATGATGACGTATTTATTCTAGGTGCATCATTCAGTCGAGGAATTGGTGGAGACATCGTCGATACAAAAAATAAAGAAAATGTCACACGCTCAAATATATCTGCAGCAGCTATTGTAAATCGAGAATCTCTGGTTGGTGTCACATCTTTACAAGTGATTATCATTGATAAACCTACGGACTATGAACATGCCGATAATAAGACAAATAAAACAATTCTTTCATCGGTTATTGTTGTTAATCTTGAACGAAATAGATCAAGTGTAACTCCACTACAGATTTCATTATACTTCAATCCTTTAGAAGAATACCAGCCAAATGGAAGTGGAATACATCTTTGTTCATATCTTAATACAACTACTTCGACCTGGAATGAAACTGGCTGTTCGAGTGCTCTGTTTTCGGAGAAACATAACCGCTACGAATGTACCTGCAACCATACAACATCGTTTGCTCTTGTTTGGTTACCAACATCACTAGAAACAATGAATTATACAAAAGAACTCGATGCACAAGATATTACTTCACTAATCTTTCAATTAGCCTCTATAATATGCTTTTTAATCATACTAACACATGCTACTGCCACCCGCATTATCCAACCAATGCGGAGTATCCCAGCACTTAATCTACTTCCGTTGATTTCAACAGCAAGTTCGACAATTTTATTTATTTTCTTCATCGCTCTTTCACTAACTGTTTATACGCAAACAGCATCTTCAGATCAAATTGTTTGTTTTCCGACTTCCATTGTATTAATGTTTATCACATATTTCCTGCTGATATTCATGTTTTGTGCAAAAACAATAACTGGCTACTTTTATTTTCTTCGTTTCGTTCGGCTTTTTCCGCAACCAACTCATCGAAGATTATATCTTATGCTTCTTCTCTCTTTTCTCATTGCTTGCGTATTTGTGTCGTTCGCAATTGGCTTTTACATTCGATTATCCGATCAAATCATACGATTATATCCATATAAACTATGTTGGTTCAATCGTCCATCGATTTATTATTTTATGACAATACCAATTGGACTTTCTCTCATCACAAATCTCGTAACAATAAGTTTCGTTGCTAAAAGTATCATCACCCATGCGCGCAATGCTGCGACATCGAAACAAATTAGTGAACGATTGAAACGTTGTGTGATTGTTCTACTATCATCCTGTATCTTCCAAGGACTTGGGTGGATATTTGGACCATTGATTTCGTTTGTTAATCCGATGGCTGGAAATGTTTTAACATGGTTATTTATTATCATCAATGGTTTAGAAGGCGTTTGGTCGGTAATTTTATATGTACTTATACGATTACAACGATTAGATGAACATAAGATCGTGTCAGCTGCTATGGAACTTCCCAAAGCAATTGCGAATGTACCGAAGAAGGTGAAAGGTGGTGACAAAGTTTCACTCTCTTCAACAAAGAATTTGCGCCAACGTGAATCGAGGAATGGTTCAAGTGATGAGAACCATTGGTTAAAATGAAGATCAATCTCTGTCACAAGCTTCTAGTCATTAAAGTTTTTCTGAATCCAATTCAATTAATCAGTCTAAAGTGCACTTTTTCTCTATCTAAGTGACATAAATAAAAAATCATTTCGAAAGAAGTTATAATTGAATTTGTCTTTTGTTGAGAGAATGCATGTCGAAGTTGATTAACAGGAAAACAAAATAGTCGCTTCGAAATAGATCTGATCGAAAGTATGGGGTACATGATCGTTTTGTTTGCAATAGCTTTTCAATTTTTGCCAATCGTCTCCATTAATGAAACTTGTTGGCCAACTGCAAATAATTTAACGTGCGTTCTAAACGATCTACTCTTGGGATATAATAAATATCAACGGCCTAATTATACTGGTAGAAATTATGTTCCGAAAATTGTAAAAAGAAAAAATCGACTATTTTAGGAGATCCAATTCGCGTAGAAGTTTACTTAATGATTATTAGTCTTGGACCAATTTTTGAATTGGATATGGTTTGTAATCGATGAGTTTTTATTCGATCATTCTTTATTTTTTGTTATTCAAAAATCTCAGTCATTCACAATGAATCTGTTTTTTCGACAAGTATGGACTGATCAACGATTGACATTACCCAATCAAGTATCCAACGTCGCTGTTTCAACAAAATTACTCAGGTATAATGAATCTACTGTCTTTATTTTCTAGTAAACATACATATTTGAATCCAGTGCAATATGGAAGCCTGATACCTATTTTATTAATTCGCATTCCGCTTACCTTCATACAACGCCAACATTCAATCATCTTTTACGCATATTGGAAAATGGTCGATTGCTTTACTCCAGTCGGTGTGTGTTTTTGTTATTCTTACTTAAAAAACAAGTTTTTGATGATTGTTATTTCAGTTTAACAATCAAGGCTTCTTGTTCGAACTTTTTAAAACGATTTCCTCTTGACGTTCAACTATGTCCACTGGCATTATCTAGCTGTAAGTCGAGTCGGAATCATTTTTTGTGATACATTCGAGTCTATAAAGATGCTTATGGAACGAAAGATATCATTTACGATTGGAAACTAAATGCAAACAATGGTGTAGAATTTGAACGATTAAAATTATCCCAATTTGATCTATTCGATCATAAAATCTCTCGACGAGAAGTTCAATTGAATGACCGTTTGTTTTCTACTTCAATCTCGAATTCCTAGAAACGATTTACTTCATAGGAAATCATTCTGTCCTTCAACTCGATCTTTTCATGCGCCGAAAAGCTGGGTATTATATTNTTCCAGCTGTACCGTACTTCACTGCGATCGATTACTTTTTTGTCATGTGTTATTTGTTTCTGTTTGCTTCATTAATTCAATTCACTGCTGTCCATCGTTATCTTGGCGTATGCTAAACATCCGTACAACAAAATCTTTTTGTATTATTTTTGTTATTCGTTTTTAGTATCGTCAATCAATGAAACCTGCGGAGAGTCTAAACGACCAACGAAAATCTCTTGTGTTAGAGGAAGCTATGGAGACCAATGTCAGTTTCCTAAGAAATGAAGAAAGCCATTCAACATATTTGCCGCGTCGATCGACATTCAGTGTTATTGTACAAGGTTTGCATTTAATAAGACGAAAAGCGCCTCTACATAAACTTGATGAACACGCACGCATTGGATTTCCTCTTCTATTTATTCTTTGTAATGTTATTTATTGGTTTATTCTAGTAGTTTATACCGCATAAAGTCAATCCCTTTCGAAATATATTTGATATATAAAATATTTTGAATTAATACCAATGTGACTGACAATATTTGTACATGCTATTCGTATCGTAAATCTCACTGGCAGCATATTTATGTAGCCATTAGTATGTTGTTGATCGAAAGAAGAAAAATTGAAAACAGATTTTTTGCCATTTTCGCTTTCGGGTGTGATTGATTGTAAAGAGAAAATTTCCTTCACAAACCACTAGCAAGGATTTGTTTATAATGATTTCGTTGGGCGAACACAACACACAAGCGTTGTCAAAATTTAAAAACGTCTTTTTGTTCTGTTGCCTTAATACTTCCTTTCTTTCTGTTCTGCTTATGATTCAACCGAACATATATGATGTAAAGAAAGTCATGCCTACTTCTTTCCAAAGAATTTAAAATTGAATGCTTAGATGTCAAGTAATGTCTGTCTAGCATAAACTCGATGTATTACGTATGTATATTCTTACATCGATTGAAATAAATATAATTGGTATATCATCAAGGACCTTTCCATTTTTGTAGTATGTATTTGAATGAATTAAAACAAACACATGAAAAAATTCATGGTGCGTTGATCCAACTACTGAATAGCCTTAAACCAAGTATATAACAGGTTCGGATTTTTGTGTTTTGAGAAGCACATGGCTTTACTTCATTCCTAACAAATAATTTAACTCCGTATTAACGTACTTTGGCAATTATCGTTTATCTTTATGTAGATCAATTCCCAAAGATGAATTTTGTTAAACTGAGATACTACTCCATATTACTTTTGGCTATTCTTGGTAGTCGATCACAATTGACAACAGGTAAACAATGTTTGATTCTGTATTTTAAACAATCCGCTAACAAGTGCGAACTAACAAACTTCAGATCTAGTTCGGTTTGTTAAAATTTTGTCCCGTGATATCGTTATTGCTCATCACATTTAAGATTGAGAAACACTATGCGTGTCTAAATTCTCACGTAAAAGCAGTTTCCCACGCCATCGCTTATACGCACCTAATAACACAGATCGAAGAAGGCCACATGGATTACATTCCACATATGTATCAGCATCTCCCTGAACTAGCACTACTTTCAACATCCCATGGGTATCAAATCATAATAAAAGACTCCTATTTTTTTCTCCCGCTCTACCCAAGTCGACCAATCTCATATTCCCATCCCGAAAAAGGATTTCATGCATTTTCGTAGGTTCATAATTGAATACAGTTAGAAACAAAGTTCATCAAATTTGAGACAAATGACGTGATTTTTTCAGTGGAAATCCAATGCATATATGTCATCGGGAATCACATCGGATTTGTCACCCTAAGTGATCCCTCCGTACCCCATAAAGTAAAGGATTTTAAAATGACATTGAATGAAAATGCGACCAGCCGTCCAGGGCTACTAACAACAACATCCAATAGACTCCTCTTTGATACAAATTATCAACCTCTACTTCAGACGCAGAAACCTCCGTTTCCTTTGACTTAATTACCACAGAAACCACAACGACCAGCACTACGAGCACCTCTACTAGCAGCACGAGCAGTACAAGTTCTTCCAGCAGCATCACGAGCACCACGACTACCACAACCACAAGTAGCAGCAACTCCACCACCACGACGACCACTGCAACCACCACGACAACTAGTAGCAACACCTCCACGAGCACAAGTACAACGGCAACTACCACGACCACCAGTAGCAGCAACTCCACCACCACGACGACCACTACGACTACCACGACAACTAGTAGCAGCACCTCCACGAGCACAAGTACCACTGCAACTACCACGACCACCAGTAGCAGCACCTCCACGAGCACAAGTACAACGGCAACTACCACGACCACCAGTAGCAGCAACTCCACCACCACGACTACCACTGCAACTACCACGACCACCAGTAGCAGCACCTCCACGACCACCAGTACAACGGCAACTACCACGACCACCAGTAGCAGCAACTCCACCACCACGACGACCACTGCAACCACCACGACAACTAGTAGCAGCACCTCCACGACCACCAGTAGCAGCAACTCCACCACCACGACTACCACTGCAACTACCACGACCACCAGTAGCAGCACCTCCACGAGCACCAGTACAACGGCAACTACCACGACCACCAGTAGCAGCAACTCCACCACCACGACTATCACTGCAACTACCACGACCACCAGTAGCAGCAACTCCACGACCACGACTACCACTGCGACTACTACGACAACTAGTAGCAACACCTCCACGAGCACAAGTACAACGGCAACTACCACGACCACCAGTAGCAGCAACTCCACGACCACCAGTAGCAGCAACTCCACCACCACGACTACCACTGCAACTACGACGACCGCCAGTAGCAGCACCTCCACGAGCACCAGTACAACGGGAACTACCACGACCGCCAGTAGCAGCAACTCCACGACCACGACTACCACTGCGACTACTACGACCACGAGTGGCAGCACCACCACTGGAACTACCACGACCAGTAGTGTCAGTTCTTCGACCGGCACGATTGCTACAACCACTATCGCGACAACAGGAACAAGTTATATTATAACATCGAGTAGTACCACGGTATCAACGACAACTACTCAGATGACAAGTTCACAATCAACCACAACAACGACGACCACTAGTGCAGGATTTTATTGTGTGAATTCAACTCATGTTTTATTGGTGAATTCTAGTTGTGTGCTGAAGGGTGATGCACAGGTATCTTAACAGGTCGGTAATGCGTATATGAAATTGTCGAAGGTTTGTTTTATTTAGCAATCAAGTTACAACATATTGTTGAATGATACGGCTAATGCCACAACAGTTGGATCGAATTTGATTGATTACTTTGAGTCGTTTACAAACGTGTCTTCTACTAACTCGAGCTATATATTAACGTTGAATCGAGTAGATCAATTGGTGAATAATTTGAATAGTACGAGTTTTACTGTTAGCGGAACATCATCGTTTTTGTTGGTACAAACCACAAGTGGAAACCAAACCGATGACGTTCTGGTTTTAGGTGCTTCTTTCAGTCCTGACGCACACGGTCAGGTCGTGAATACTCAAAACAGAGATAGTATCATCAACTCGAATATATCCAGTGCTGCTGTCGTCAGTAATGACTCGATAGTGAATGTCAAGTCGATGAATATATTTATTATTGACAATCCAAGTTTGTACAAAAATGTAGATAACTCAACGAATGACATGTTAGTTAGCTCATCGTTAATTGTTGCTTCGGTGAAAAATTTTCCGAATAGATCGAGTTCTGTTAAAATTGCATTATACTTCACTCTAGCATTAGATTCTCCGCAGCCGAGTAATGGAACGTTCCTGTGTTCATTTTATGATACAAGCATGTCTCGATGGAATAGTTCCGGCTGTAGTTCGCCGACATATAATTCAAATTTCAATCGGTATGAATGTAGTTGTAACCATACAACTTCGTTTGCCCTTATTTGGTTACCATCTGGCCTATTAGAGTCTAGTGGACGTAACTTTCGATCGGCAGATATCGCCTCGCTCATTTGCCAATCGTTATCTATAGCGTGCATTTTGGGCATTCTTCTTCATGCGGTTGTGAATCGAGTAATTCAACCTTCGAATTATATATCTGCAACTATCATGCTTCCATTAATATCCTATGCAAGTACAGGCATTCTGTTCGTCTTTTATATTGCTCTCACCATGACTGTATATGCTCGCACAACATCCGAAAATGAAACAAAATGTTTTTTGAGTTCCCGTGTCTTAATGTTTTTCACTTACTTCTTCTTAATCTTTATGTTATGCATCAAAACAAGCATCGGTTATTTCAATTATTTGCGCTTTGTGCAACTATTCCCACCGCCGTCATATCGACGACTTTTCATTCTACTTCTCATCTCATTGATACTGGCAGGCGGTTGGGTTGCTTTCGCAGCTGGTTTCGATTCAAATTCTTCCTACAACATTACACAATTGTACCCCTATCGATTTTGTTGGTTTACTCACACAGTCATCTATTATTTTTTAACCATACCTGTCTCAATCTTTCTTCTATTGACATTTGTCAACATTATTTATGTTAGTAAGCGCATGATAGAGCATGTGCAACGAGCAACATCTCCACATCATACGTATCAACGAATGAAACAATGCGTGCTAGTTTTAATAGCATCTTCAATTACTCAGGGAGTCGGGTGGTTGTTCGGTCCATTTCTTTCGTTTGTGAGTCCGTCTGGTGCGTCGGTCTTAGAATGGTTTTTCATCATATTTAATGCGTTAGAAGGTGTATGGGCTGTCCTTGCTTACTTAGTTATTCGAGCACAAATAAAACAAGAACAAATACGTGTAACAACAGTGAAGAAATGGACCAAGGAACCAGTTACGATAAAGAGCACACCCAAGGAACCTAACCCACCAGTCGCTCAAAAAGGAACTGGTATCGAAACCAGTGAATTTGAACCTGTGCGCCGAAAGCGTCAGAACGATCCGATAGAGCGCTTCGATGATTTACGTTACACGAACTGATATTTTCCTTTTGTTTAATGTTCTTTTTCTTTCTCGACATCATCCACAAAAAAATGTTGTAGTATAAAAATCTTTCTGTAAAAGAAAACATTCGATACTTTCTCGTATCATCAAGAATACAAGTGAATTTAATTTTATGAAAACTAAGATATTTTCACAATTGATAAAATTCAAATTGATATAATTAACTATGAACTGAAGGAGAATATCTGTGTGTCTCTGAAGAAAAGGAACAAACAGAGAATTGGCTACACATCAATAAGTCTTCCTAATCTTTCCTACAGAAAACAAATCACATTTATGTACAATTGTATCACAGTAAAAATGAGATTACGATTATAAGAAACAAACAGAAGAAAACAAAACAAATATGATTTAGATGTGAATCAAAACGCTAACCGCTGTTTTTTTCCTCACCTCTTGTCAATTATCCCTCAGTTTGCCGATCATTCCAAGATATTCGAGTTTCGTAGAATTGAATGATTTCATCTTCGCAGTATTTTTTCGCTACGTCAGCCGGAATCAACTCCATGTTATCTTCGATGCTCGTAGGAGATTCGTAATGAACAAGATAGTGTAATTGTTCGCCTTTCGTTCGATTAATTCCCAAAACGGCTTGAACTTTGAGACCTTTTTCTAATCCATACGTGGTCGTGTCCATTTTGGAAGGCTTTTCGGAATTGGTAGATGAAGCAACTGACTTAGGTGGATCGTCATCTTGTTCATCTTCTTCCTCGTCATCATCATCTTTAATAACTTTTGTACGTCGCTTTTTCCGTTGTTCAGCTCTATTAATTCGTTTTTGTACTTTTTTCGACCTCATTTTGTCTCGTTGTGAACGTTTTCGACTGCGTTCTTCTTCACGACGAAATTCTGCTAAACGTTCGGGGCAGTTCAAACTCGTTGCAGGTATCCATTCATTGGCTGAGTCATCGTAACCGACCCACTTAATGTAATACTCGTATCCACCGCCTCGGCGACGTTTTCGTTTAGCCAGGATTTTCTCCTTAACAAAAACAATCATGAAAAAAACAATGATTAATCAATTCATTTTCATTTTCAACTTACGACTTCGTATTCACTACTGGAATTACTAGCAGTATCGTCATTGTCGTCATTATTCGATTCGCTTGTTTGAGATTTTTCTTCGTCAATGTCATCGGTTTTCTCTGTGCTAGACGCGACAGTTTCGTTATCTTCGTCAGCTTGCTTTTCACTACTCATTATTAGAAAATGAATTGAATCAAATTCAAACTTTTCTTTATGTTCTGTAGTCACCAATCAAGGTCTGCTATGCTAGCGACATATGAAAAATACTATTCGTCGATATTCTGGTGCCACGTCCGTAACAATACTATGGAATATGTCTCAATCAATCAGTTAGAACGTTGATCTTCTCATTCTCACGGCACCATCATCGTCTTCATTTCCATCGAATGGCTACTTATCAGGAATTTTTTCTTCAAAATGAAGAACGTGATGGTGTGCGTTTCACATGGAATATGTGGCCATCAAGTCGTTTGGAAACTACACGACTTGTAGTTCCACTTGGTTGTTTATTTACACCATTGAAAGAACGTCTTGATCTGCCAGCGATCAACTACGAGCCCGTTCTATGTACACGGGACTCGTGCCGAGCAATCTTAAATCCGTTTTGTAGTGTGGATTATCGAGCGAAGATTTGGATATGTAATTTTTGTTTGCAACGAAATAACTTTCCACCGCAGTATGCTGGAATAAGCGAACAATTGACACCAGCTGAACTTTCACCACAGTTTACAACCATTGAATACACATTAATCGTATGAATGATCAACATTTGGTTGGGTAATTTCAGCAATTTTTCTTCTGTTGTATAGCGTGTACCTATTTCGCCAGCGATATTCCTGTTTGTCGTCGATACTTGTATGGATGAAGATGATCTGACAGCATTGAAAGTATGATCATAAATTTTTTCTTTATTTTCTACAAATGATAATTGAGAAATTTCTGAAGGAATCTCTACAAATGGCGTTGAGTTTATTACCGACGGACGCACTGGTTGGTCTGATTACATTTGGTCGAATGGTTCATGTTCATGAACTAAATTGCGAAAATATGGCACGAAGTTATGTCTTTCGAGGAACAAAAGATCTAACTACAAAACAAGTTCAGGTACATCATATTTAATTCAATTTCTTTGTCGAAAGGACAATTCATTTCTAGGATATGCTTGGCCTAGCAAAGCATCAACCAAGTGCAAGATCAGTTCCAACAAATCCGAATGTACCACCGCAATCGAATGCGTTTTACAGCAAGTAATTCGTGTGTGATCAACTAATTTGCTCGATGACAGCACCAAATCAACTGACATCATTTCTATTAAGATTCATTCAGCCAGTGTCGGTATGCGATATGTCATTGACAGATCTTCTTGGTGAACTTCGACCTGATCCATGGCCTGTCTTGCAAGCAAAACGTTCATTGCGATCAACTGGCGCCGCACTTTCAGTTGCTACTGGTTTACTCGAGGTGATTATGCTCATAATACTATCTTGCAAATTGGTTGATTTCGTTTCCTTCTAGGCTCTCTATCCAAATACGGGTGCCCGTCTTATGCTGTTCATTGCTGGTCCATGCACACAAGGACCAGGCATGATTATTGACGAAGAATTGAAACACACGATTCGTTCTCATCATGATATTGAAATCGATAATGCTAAATATATGAAAAAGGCAATTAGAGTAAGCTAAGTAGCCTTCTCATAATATTTATGCTATACGTGTATGCGTAGTTTTATGAAAATATTGCTAGTCGAGCATCGATCAATGGACATGTCATCGATCTATATTCAGCAGCACTAGATCAGACGGGTTTACATGAAATGAAATATTGTACGAATTACACAGGGTATGTTGTTTAATTTGGTATCTCAAACCGTATGATAAGAATGTGAATTTCTGTTTAGAGGTCACATGGTGATGAGTGATTCGTTTAATACATCGTTATTTAAACAAACTTTTCAGAAAGTCTTTGCCAAAGACAATAAGAATGATTATCGAATGAATTTTGGTGCTACTTTAGAAGTGAAAGTAAAACAACGTTTAATATAAAGAAAGAAATTGTTTTAACGAGAGTTTGCTTTATAGTGTAGTCGAGAAGTGAAAGTTTGTGGTGCTATTGGTTCTTGTGTTTCATTGGCACAACGTGCATCGAATGTATCCGAAACTGAATTAGGTATTGGTGGAACAAATGCTTGGAAAATCTCGGGAATCTATCCCAATTCGACTCTTTCGCTTTTCTTCGAAATAATTAACCAGGTAACGACACGATAAATTACCAGCCTTATGTAGAGTCATTATCTTATAGCAGCAAGAAGCAACGCAATCAGTTCCAACCGATCAACGAGGCTATGTGCAATTTATTACGCACTATCAACATCTATCTGGTTATAAAAAACTTCGTGTAACAACTATCTCAAGAAAGTAAGACATGTTTGTTACGCAAATAGAATCGTTATTTTGGCAAAACATTGTGACCATAACAATTCATCGAATACTGTCTATCGTCAACACGATGACAGATGTTCTGATAATAATTTATCGCGACTCGTGACAGATATCTTGACAATTTTTGTTTCAAAAGCTCAAACATTTTCCATCAAAATAAACCTAATATCTCAAATATTGATTGGAAATTTTAGTTTGCTCGATGCTACAACACATCTGCCAGCAATAGCTGCATCATTTGATCAAGAATGTGCTAGTGTGTCCATGGCGCGTATTGCCGTTTTTCGCGCCGATACTGAAGAAGGTTCCGATGTACTTCGTTGGTTAGACAAAATGCTCATCCGATTAGTAAGGATTACTTTCTCATATTCCTAATGACTACTATATCGTGTAATATCAGTGTCAAAAATTTGCTGTCTATGAAAAAGACAACCCAGGTTCATTTCAATTAACTGACACGTTTACGTTGTATCCGCAATTTATGTATCATTTACGGCGGTCGCAACTTCTTCAAGTATTTAACAATAGTCCTGATGAATCAGCATTTTACCGGTAACATCTTGAAAACACTTTACAAGAAAAAGACACTCTTGTTCTTTGCATTAATTAGACATTATCTACTTGGTGAAGATTTAACACAATGTTTAGTTATGATTCAACCCATTCTCTATGCTTACTCGTTCAATGGTCCACCTGAAGTAAAAGAGCTAACGATACATGTCATGCAGTCAACACATGCTTTATTGTTTTTCTTTCAGCCTGTGCTTTTGGATAGTAGTAGTATATTACCAGATCGTATATTATTAATGGATACATTCTATCATATCCTCATCTACCATGGCGAAACGATTGCTCAATGGATAAAAGCAGGTTATCAAGATTTGCCAGAATATGAGAATTTCAAGCAACTTCTTCAAGCACCTGTCGGCGATGCTTCAGAAATTCTTCAAAATCGCTTTCCCATGCCACGTTACGTAGTAACAGAAGCTGGCGGATCACAAGTAGGCACACTGGCTTTTATCAGAAGTCATTTCAAAGCTTCTTCTAGGCACGATTTCTTCTATACAAAGTCAATCCCTCTCAAACGCATACGAATTGTGTATGGGGACAAGTAAGTACACATCGAATTTCCTTCGCGCCATAAACCACATGAATTTTTCAGGCTGTTGGAGCGCCTATTCTGACTGATGATGTCAATTTGCAAACATTTATGGAACACTTAAAAAAGCTAGCTGTATCAACGTCAACTTAGATAGATCTTCGAGCTTCCTGGTTTTGTTTGCCCGTGTTATTTGTGTGTGAATGCATGAATCTCATATCTATTTTGCTGTGTTGTTTTTTTTACGTTTTTATATACAAATCGTTTTCAATCTCATGTTTTGACTTTATATCTGATAAAATATTCGAACTAGTCCTTGTTATCCATTTATCTTTTCTACTCAATATGTCATCTATCGATGATAGCAAGTTTTCATCAAGACAATCTATCAGGTACGAGATATCTATATAGACAATCATCGATATGGCAAGTTCAAGATATGTAGGAATTAGTGCTCATCATTGAATTGTAAAGCTACTCTTGGATCCTTTTGTGTGTTTAATCGAGTATGACAATTGAATCAGTGATCTTAGATCGATCGATTGTAGTAGATGTGTCGTGTTATGAGCTATAAATATGTACAATCAAGGTGAAATAAATAATTTAACTTGAAAAAACAAAGCAGAAACCAAGAGAACAAATTGTCAATATTTTCTCCGTACGGTTCGATAATTAGTTTGTTCGGAACTTGATCAACAAGCGACATTCTCACTTATTTTCTTCTTCTCTCCTCTATACGAGTCATAACATATTATCTTTGAAACGAAACGTGTAAACTTAATCCAAAAAAGAGTAATTGAAAAGAAAAAGAAAGGCAACTCTATATCTAACCAAATGGCATGACAGAAATGAACACAAATAATAACGGAAATGAATGACGTTGATAATGATCAACGAGAATGGTGTGTTTATGAGAAGAGAAATATGTATGCATATGCTTGTCTGCTGTTTACGTTGATTATAGTGCGTGTTTTTAATAGCAAGTCGCATGTTGTAGGTTATTCTAACAATGTCACTGCACGCAGAGAATCCGATTAGAAATTGCGAATTGCAATAAACTTTCCCATTTGTTTCTTTCTAATTCATTCATGTTCGTCGTTCTATGTCAATGAATTCCTTAAGGCGATAAGACAAAGAAGAAGACGAAGAGCAGAAGGAGGAAGAACAAGAAGCTTTGTAACGAAATATTCTTTTTGTGTCTGACACTTTTGACTTCTAATAGCAAATCGATTTATAAGACAGAAAACATCGATGTGAAAATGATAAACGATTAGATGTTTACAGATCTGTCGACATCTAATCAAGTGATATAATCTGCAAAGCGATTCTTTGTTCGTGCGTTCGACATGCAATGATGGCGAGGAGACAACTTGCATAATTCTGCTCTTTTGTGTTTCAAAGGCATCAAACACTTTTTCTAGTATTACAGTCAATCAAAAAGCCTGCTGTGCAATGTACGTGAGTGTGTGCAGATAGGAAAGATAATCGAACGAGACGTTCACTGTGTGTTCAAAAGGAAAATGAGAAAAGAAGCAAAGAAAAATATCCATTAAAAGAGAAATGATGAACTTCTCTTGGAGTTTTTTCCTCCTCCTTCTTTTTCTTTTATTCTTCCTTTTTTTTTTGCAAATCTATTTTAGTAATAAAATTATGATTCAATTGCCATTAAACTTTTGATATTATCTTGACATAAATGAATTTCTTTATGTATTATTTTTCCTTATGTCTAAGATAAATATGTTTATATATATATATATATATATCAAGCATTCAGATCGTTTGCGAGCGTTGAAATGCAGTTCAAGCGAAAGCAAGTAGACTAGAAAGATAATGCTCTAATCGGAACACAACACTTGAAGGAACGGGCATCAAGAATCTATCATCTCTTCTCTTCTCTTCTTTGCCTTGTTCTCGCGGGAGCGACCACATCGCTTTCTAACAGTATTTTCTCGTGTTCCGAACTACACTTTTCTCTCCTCCTTTATTCGTCTCTATTTCTCTCATCTTGTCGAATAAGAGAACGCAGAAAAACTCCTAACAGTCAAAGCACCGCTATCAACGCACACACGCACATAAGTAGACAAACACACGCACCAACGAGATATTTGAAATTATTTTAAAACAAACTTATGCGATACAAGTAACACTACAATGTTGTGTTCATCGATTCTTTTGATGCTGTTTCTTACAGGTAATATATTCTACTATAATCGAGTTCTATCTAATTATCTTTTCCATGAATAAATTAAAAAATAATAACATATTTATATGTAAAATAGCAATTCTACTTCTTAATGAACGATGAATGTCATATGCATACATCTGTTGATTTTTATTAGTTACTTATGCAGCGGAACAAAAGTGTAATCGACAACGTGTTGCAACATGGAATGCGGAACAACGATTAATCTGCGATCTACTTGATAATTATCAAGTCAAATGGGGACGGCCGGTAAAGAATATGACTGAAGACGTCGAAGTTCAATTTGGTTTACAATTGATCCATATCAGTGACCTTGTACGTTGCACTTTTATTCGAGTTCTTGAAAACGGATTCCCTTGTCTAGGATGAGAAAAATCAAGTATTGATCACTAATCAATGGCAAATCTATGTATGTGTTTAATCGGATAGGTTCTATTTCGTATGAAATTTGATTTTCTTCTTGATAGGAATGGCAGGACGAAGCATTAACATGGTAGGCGTCGGTTTTGATCTTTCTTTTTTTTTACTTATTCCATTGTATTTTAGGGATCCAGAATATTATGGTAAATGCAATCGAACGGAAAATAGATGAACACAAAAACAAGCTTATTCTTTTAGATGATCTTCAAGATATACGTTTACCGATCAAACGTATTTGGCAGCCAGATGTCACGTTGTATAACTAGTAAGCCTCCTATTAATAACGAAGCATCGATTCGAGAAATATCCCAAAAGACTAGTTTAACTAATCAACCATCTGTAGCTCATATTTGTTGTTGAGAGAAGAAATTTATCTTAAGGATATATTAGCGATTAATTTGCTTAACTCAATTTGGAAATGTTTATTCTAAACTTGTTTAACCTTGATCGTATGTATGTTATCTTCTAGTGCCGATACACGACTGGAAGAAAAACGTGAAGTTCTAGCTGTTGTGTATTACAATGGAACCGTTGTTTGGAAACCAATGTCAATTTTTAAGTCAACATGTCAAATTGACATTCGGTAATTGACCTTTCTTCTCTTATTACCGACGTCTGACGAGGAAACTACCCCAAGTGATTCATGCCAATTAGTCCCATATTTCGGCCATGTGTGTGACTCAGCGAGATTAAGAAAAATCTAAAATAGTTCGGGCACACAGCTTATTAGATGAGAGTTATGGTCATTTTATTAAATTTTTGGTCTATTCATGAATATTTACTAGAGATTCGAATGAAGAGATTTCTGCCTGAAATTGTACTCAAAGATAGTCTTTATCAAGCCTCAGATGCTCTAAAAATTTCAGCTCAAACTTACTTTCCTTTCTTGAAATACTGAATTTTTAAAAATTAGTCATTTATCACATAATTGTCTCAAAAATCGACTGTACGTGAAAATGAGATATTTCAAGAAAGAAAAGTAAGTTTGAGCTGAAATTTTTAGAGCATCTGAAGCTTGATAAAGACTATCTTTGAGTACAATTTCAGGCAGAAATCTCTTCATTCGAATCTCTAGTAAATATTCACGAGTAGACTAAAAATTTAATAAAATGGTCAGAACTCTCGTCTAATAAGCTATGTGCCCGAACTATTTTAGATTTTTCTTAATCTCGCTGACTCACACACATAGCCAACATATGGGACTAATTGGCATGAATCACTTGGGGTAGTTTCCTCATGAGTTATTCTTTATCATTGATCTCATTAGACGGTTCCCATACGATCGGCAGAATTGCTCAATGAAATTCGGTACATGGACGTATGATAGTTCCAAAGTGAATCTTAATTTCTATCGTGATATTCATCAATTCGACTTGAGATCGTATGTTAAATCCAACGAATGGACGATTTTAGAAAACTACGCCAAACGTAATACCGAAAAATACGGTAAGCTGAAAATGATCTTGTCGGAAGGAACTAGTTTTTCGGCGAAGTTCAGATTGCTGTCCGGAAATTTATGTTGACTTGAAATTCTATATCATACTTGAACGGCGAGGTGGATTTTATAATTACATTCTTATTTTACCATGCGTACTTCTCTCCTGCTTGACATGCATACTATTTTGGCTACCTGTAAGTGAATTTATTCGAATGAAGAGTGATGTATCAGGAGTGGTTCTTTTTTTAGCCGGAAAGTCCGTCGAAGTTGGTCCTTGGTGAGCTGAAGATAAACTCTTTCATGATAACCTTCTTTTCCTCTGTTGCATTCACATATAGGAATGAATATATTTACTTCATTTTTCGTCTTGTTACTTCTATTATATAAGAATATGCCTTCCAATGCTGAACATATTCCACGAATAGGTAAAGACAAAGTCGTTCTCTTCCGGCATTTAATTATTTCCTTTCATTGAAAACGGAAGTCTATGTTATTTACTCGTATAGGTGCGTACTACTGTTTAAATATGGGCATGATCGCTACATCGACATTTCTCTGTACAATTGTCGTTCATATCTATTTCCGTGGAAGTGGACCGATGCCTGTTATATTACGAAAAGTATTTTGGCCAAAAGCAAAATAGTGGAGTATCAGATGAACTTTTGTTTTTGATCTAGGTTTTTCTCGAGTGTTTGGCACGACTTTTCTGTATGGTACCGCATACGGGTTCATATCAGCAGCATGCAGTCAACGGTCTCGTTCCCCCTGTGAAAGCCACGTGCGACGGTGATAAATTTGAGAAATTTGAGTTACTCAAAGAACGGTTTAAAACATTCGGTGATAAACGTATTATAACAACGAACGATGATTCAAATGATGAAGCATTAGAAATGACTGACGACGATCATCATCATCATCAACAACAACAACACGCACAGATACTAAATCAACAAATCCAACAGCAAATAACAGCGTCGATTGCATTCATGACTGTGGAGACAGATTTGAAAGAAATACGTGATTTTCTTCGAACAACACGAAAACGTATGGAAGATAAAGAAGCCAAAGCGAAAACAATTAACGATTGGAAACAAGTCGCACTTGTACTTGATCGAACTTTCTTTTTCATCTACTTATCTGCTATAATTATCTCTCTTGCTGCGATGTTCCCTCGATAGAATAACGTGACTGTTTACTTTTTTCTCTAGTCATCCTTAAATATGAGGTGATAGTCTTACGAAAAGAGAACCAGTGTCCATGTTTATTTATTTGTTCGCTCAATGTACATTGAAATACAAAACATAAGTAAAAAAAAACTTTATTTTTATGACATAGGAAAACAACGGAATCGTACAGGCGATTGTCCGTCTTGCATTCTCAAGTTTATCGGTCTTCAAGATCGGGTGAGTAGTGGTTATAGCGTTGTTGAATACGTCGACGAACCAGTAGTTCGAATGGATTGACTTTTGGTTCAAAATTTTCACGAACGAGAAATTTCGCACGTTCGGATTTTTTCTGATCTTCGTCTTCTTCTTCTTCTTGATTGTCCTCGGCATTATCGACAGTCGGCTTCTTACTAATCGACTTGACATATTGATGCACTGTATGAATGACAAATGCAGATGCAACTAATAACATAATAATACCAATCATAAACGATATCTTTATGAGACTGTGGGGTGCTTCAAATTCTTCTTCAGGCACATCCCATGGAATGTGTAGGCAACTGTTCGGTGAGCGATAATAGAAATGCTGAGATTTATCGTAGAGTAGATTCACACAGATTTCATAACGACCCGGCGATAAATTATGCAGATCAATCGTATTGTTTTCATTCTGTGTTCGATTCAGTTGTGAGTACTGACCAATTTGTTTCTCAAAGCGTTCTTCCAAATGAAGAGCATGATCATCCATTAAATCGAGCGTTCGTAACGTAAAGATATAATACGAAAATTGAAACTGTTCACTTTGGTTGACTTTTAAGTGTAGCCATACACGAATCGACGATATGTTTAATTTCTGTCGACACAGATAAACGTCATTTGACTTCAAAGGTATTTTTAATGAACATTTGTGCCCGTAAGTCAATGTGAAATAGAAGAAATATATAAGAAAAAACATTCATCAAAGGCTGATCAATTGACAGTATTTAGAAGAAAAAATATATTTTCTTTTCTTTGACAATTTCGAATCATCAACCAATCGTTTGCTCGGAAGAATAATCTATCAAGCATCTAAAAATACATGCTATTATTGATGATTAAAACAACGGAAAGGACGAAGAAGAAAAGAAAACGAAAACTTTATTTTTTTTTCTTTTCAATCACGGGTATATTAACATATGTGTGAATGTTAAATAAATAAGCTCGAAAACGATGAGGTTTCATTTCGGCTCTTACGATCGAGGACAGTAATAAGTCACTCGATCAGGTATGGTTCGATTGATTGCGACAGAGTTATTCCCTCGTCTAGAATATCGACAAATAAAGTTGTTCCGTTTGAAAGATAAGAGAGAGAATGAAATCTTACGATAAAGCGATCATTCGTCGTTCTGGATCGATATGCAATTTTGTACGCGCATTGAATGCCATGCATGCACTATCTGCTGAAGGAGTTTTATATGAAAATCTTTCGACTAGAATAAAACAATTGAGATCTCTGAATGCAACTAAAATTCACTTACATTGTGTTCGATGACTATTTTCATTGAATTGGAATTTGACATAGTTGCTGTATTTCTAGAAGAAAAGAATGAGATTATGGTAGACAGGATAAGATCGGTTACGTTTGTTTCCTTCGATGTTGAAGTTAATCGGATTTCTTGATCGAAATTGGCGAGCTCAGTCAACATTAAGTACCACTGTTAATCGAAGACATTGAGATGCTGTTTTTTCGATAAAAGAAAACTTTCTCTTACCAACTTTCGAAGGTATTCTTCATCCAATCGATCTTTCTCGAAAATCCCAGCAAAAAGCATTCGCGAGTTACGCTGAATGTAAAGAACTAATTCATCACGTTCGATTTCATCGTTTTTTTCCGGTACATCACCCCATGATGCATGTCCTTCTTGATGTTCCGTCGCATTGTATTCACCATCATTCAAATCCGAATGACTTGTTAATGTTCTTTGTCTTGGCCGATGGAAATGCGAAGATAGAACCATCGGTGGCAAACAAATCATATCGTCTTCACAGCAACTACTTTCATGACCGTCGACAGTTTCAATTGGTTCGAAAACCAGACTATTGACATTTGTATCCATGAAACGCGATCGATCGTAATCATTCTTCAATAGATTGTCATAATCATTATCTGACATTGATGAACGAGATCGTTCGAATTTATGTCGTATCTTATCATCATCAGTTCGTGATTCTTGCGATGATAGAGGTGATAATTTGACATTCGATTCAGGTTTAGAATGCTAAACAGAGCTAAATGAAACATAAAACAAATGCATAACACAAACGTACTTGTTGTAATATTGGAAGAGATTTTCTGCCATTGAACTGTGAATCTGCACTTTGAGAAATCAGTTTTCTACTCGACGACACATGAGTTGATTGATCACGATCGAAATCTGTTGCTTCTTCGGATGAAGTATGTGATTCTTCGGTAATCACTGATTTGGAATAGAACATTTCGCCAATGGACGAAGAACAATTCATACTATTGGACTGAAAAGTCCACGGAGATGTTGAGTTATCATTGGATAATAATGTGTTTAGGATATTAATCGGTTCTGATGAATGTTGTCGATGGAGGAACGACGAGTTATTTGTATTAACAGCATTCAACATTGGCTGTAAACTTGGTGCTTGTCGTATATGAATTCGAATCAAGGATACGCCATTATTTAGTTTGGTTTCTGAATTCAATGGCACGTGAATGTCATCGATCTAATAGAAACATAATATTAGTCTTTCTTTTCAAAGAATCGCAAAACTATTCTGATTGTCAACACCTTACCGGCAAATTCTGTTCCAAATCGAGAATAACTTGTAGTAGAAATGTAGTCTCAGTGTCAAGTGATGAATACAATATTCTACGTATTTCAAAAAGCGATCAGTTATGAAAACGGATTCGTTAGGCTTACTGTTTGTCATAAGCAAAAAATCCACCATGGATTCCATAATTTGATTCTAAATGACTTAGGAAATGTTTGATTTGTAGCAAAAATCGTATATCATCCTTAAAGACAGATGATCATTATGATTAAAACAACATTTAAGTTAGTATTACTTGTTTTACATAAGCATAATCAATACCGGAGAAAAGACTTCGGATAGATCGGTTTTCATTGAATACGTATTCGACAAGAGGAGTGAATGTTCGTTTGAAATAGGCTTGTACTTGATGATTCTCTCGATGTATCTAGAAAAATGTCGAAATTTTAGGAAAAAGTTTTCTATGAGTATCGTTTTACAGATTGTATAGAATTCAATGTTCCGTATAATATATTGAACAACTGAATGATATGAGTCAAATGAACATTAGCTTCGTCGAAAGTGAATCGATCTTTCGGCAAAACTAAGAACTACATGAAGAGAAAAATAAATTTCAAAAGTATGCTTGACCCAAGAAAAGCATCTTACTACTGAGTGTCTTCCAAAATGTTCGCAAATGACAAAAGATCTTTTATATGCGAATTCTTTAGGTAAACAGGCGAACAAATCATGCTTAAAGAATTGTATTAGTCCAACTATTTCTCCGCAATCCAGAAGTTTCTAAATCAGAGAAGTGATTAACGAAATTAACTTTCAGTCGAATGAATCTAATTCATGAGCCAAATTACATAAAGAGCAGATGATTTTCTTTCGTATAGTTTACTTGTCGTTTGAAATCGTCTTTTGTCGGATAGAAATAAACGATTGAATCGGGAACTAAGTCGTTCTCATCAGTCGAATCTTTCATATAATAAAAATCAAATATGAAGAAGTACGAGGTAGTTCTATGTGAACTCATCGTTGACATCTGAAACACGAACGAACTTTGATTTCATACTCTTCGAGGATGAGAACGAAAAAAAAATAACATAATGTAAAAACATGCCGAGATAACAAACTATTTTCGATGCACATCACGCTGACAATGTCTAATCTATCTCACCTACATACATAGTCAATTTATAGGGCAGTTTTACATATATTTCTTTCAAGGAGAATATTACCATACTTAATCGCCGTAACGGATGTGATTATATCGGCAACTCTTATACACAATGATTACGTCTGAAATTAAATGAACTGAACTTGATGATATCGCCTGTTCTCGTACGAAAACGATTTTGTTCTTGAAAAGGTGTATTTCTTGCTGAAAAAAGTTTTACATAAATGTAAAAGAAAATAATAACAATATATACGAACATGCCCACGAACAGAAAAGAAAATCTACATATTCAATGTAGTGAAAAATAGAACTGCAATGAAACGAAATTCATGTAGAAAAACAAAAGAAAATAAATATTGAAAGTCTTTAAAAAAACGTTAAAGGATTCGTTGTGAAACTATTGTTGTTTTCACCAGCGTCAGTGCTGTTGGTGGTCGGGTTGTTGGTGGTACTGTTGATTGATGGAAACATGTCGAATGGATTTGAGAAGAGTGCAGAAAAATCGTCATTTTGCCAGGGAGTCCGATTTTCGAGAGTTGACGATGAAGCAGGAGTGGGACTGGAATTTAAATCATCGAGTAAAAGATCAATTTCATCATTTAAATCATTTAAATCATTCGAAAAGATACTCGACGAAGGAAACGGCATGGAATCGGATAACAGCTCATCTAATAAGCTAGTAGCGGAAGGAGGTGTAGGCTGTGGTCGAGGCAACTGCGGCGGCGGCGGCGGCCGCGGTGGTGAACGTAGTAGTGGAGGAAATTTCGGTGTTGGCTGAGGACTGTTCATAGCCGTTGATGGAGACTGGCGTATACTAAAGTATCGACCATCAGGTGTTCGAACATACGAACCGCGAGATGATTTTATTAGCTGAATTTTCGCACCAGATGGAATATGTTCACGTTCAAAACTGTTTATTTGCACTTGTAACGCTACAATGAAAACATGATTGATTTGGTTGATATGCTGAAACTTGCACTTACGACTACGAAGTGTAACGACTTGTACGGACGCGCCAGATTGTTTTGGTGGCTCTTGTTTTCTTTCCGGCAATTGATAGTTGTTGTATTGAGGGTACCGAGATTCGAAGGATGGTAAAGGTGAGCGATGCAAACGTTGATATTCTTGCAAAAATCGTGAACTATTGTTAAGATACGATGAGCTGCTAGAAGAAAGAGCCAGTACAACGAAAACATTAATCAATGGTTTTGCTTACGCTCGAGAAGCATTGAATCTCGATCGATTTCCATAGATATTCATTTGTTTTTCGTGTTGATAATGTTTCTGTGCACGACGCTTTTCTGCAGATGTTAATTGATTTTCTTTTTTATCCAATAGAAGAGATTCGTGTGTAAAAGGAACTTTCGTTATCGATTGCGCATATTGTTTAGAAATAAATAGTAAAATCGGATCATCGGAAATTTCTTCAACTCGATTAACTAAATCAGGAACGGCTGGTTCTTCTTCAGCGGCGAAATGAAGCAATTTTTCCACTTCGTTTCGGGTGAACTGATTCTGTGGTTGCAGTTCATCAACAACACGGTCCGACATGCCTTGCTTAGCTATTTGTCTATCGTAAATACGCTTTTCCATAGTAAAATCGGCGATCAAACGATATATGTAACAATGTTTTCGTTGCCCATAACGGTAAACCCGACAAATAGCTTGTGCATCAAGACACGGATTCCACGACACATCTAAGACAATCACACGATTCGCAGCTGTTAGATTTATGCCAAGACAACCCGCTCTAAACACTCAGATTCGCACTTCGTGCTACAGAAGTGCTTTTCTTACCGTGTTGATAACAGAAACAATTGTGCACTGGAGTTAGGTGCATTGAATGCATTGATCAATCGTTCACGTTCAAGACCACTGGTACTTCCATCCAGTCCTGTCGAAAATAAGTGGCAGAGTGAATTCATCAAAACGAGATATTTTTCACTTACGATAATAACTGGTGTTTTTTTCCCATTTTTTATCTGTGTTAGGTATTTGTTGTTGATTCAGAAATTTTTCCAGTTCATTCAGAGTTAACAAGCTTTGACTGAAAGTACGAAGTAGAACGTCTTGGTTCGGATAAAAACTAAACTCTTACCTGAACAGGAGAATTTTGTCTCTGAGTCGCACGGAGAAATCGATAATAGTAAGTGCCACTTGAAATTTAATCCCATTGGATAATTGACCACACGTATACGAATTCAAGATCGAATTAGCCTACAATGTCTGTTGAAAAGAGAAAATATGAGGTGGAAAGCGAAGAACTCACAAAGTCATAATCAAAATCTTTCCTCTCTGTTAAAGTTTGTAATTCAAACGGACTCATCATCGTAGTCGTCTGTGGTGACGAAATGGGTGATGAACGGTTGATGATATTCAATCGATTATTTGATCGACTTTTTGTTGTTAACGCCCGATTTGTTGAATTCGAATTCTGTTCGATATCCATGTCGAAATCAACATCAGCACCATCTTGACGGTCACGTACAAATTTATACAGAACATCAGCATGATTCCAAATCTATTTCCCGTAGAAAAAGCATTCTCATCGCGAGTCCTCCCTCTCTCTGCTGCTTACTTTACAACAGATTGTGAATGCTCTCAGAGGATTTAATGTTTTCTCCGTTGTATTCGACAGAGCACCAACTGCTTCCAAAAACTTCATGTACAATTGCCGTTGGTTATATGATAATTTCAATAAAATGACATATTCCGTTTTGGGCGGAAGGTCTGTCTGTAGAACATCGTGACCCCGTCTGCCACAAAGAAAAAGAAAACAGTGAGTGTTGTTTAAGAGAACGAAATCGACAAGAATACCTTTGAATAAAACCCTCGAGTAAACTGTGCAAAACATGAGCACGTGCACGCATGAGTTGTCTGTCTTCTGACGTTGAATCAACACATTGACCGTTGAGAATGGGCCGTTCGAACATATTACAAAATTCTTGTTTGCTGCCGAGATAGTTTGGACGGATAAAATCAACCATGCACCAATATTCTAAGTGTATTTTCGGAGTCTATTGTTTCAGTTAGAGTTCTGACTTACCAATAAGATTATTCTGTAAAGGATAACCGGTGAGAACAATCCGACGCCTAATAAAAGAGAGAAAAAGGATTGAAATGATGTTATTTATATTCTTACTGAGTTCGAATTGATTTTAAAGCAATGGCAACACTAGCCAGATGATTCTTTATTCGATGACCTTCATCACAAATGACAAGATCAGGATTAATCAATGCATTTGCTACATCTACATGAATAGAAACGAAATAAACATTCGTGCTCATAGATAAGCGATCTCCATACCTTCCATCGTATCGAAATTTTTCTCCTCTTCCTCGCCATCCTGAAACACAGACGCTGTTGGACTCGGTATGTTCATAGTTTTCATTGAATTCGTAGTTTTCATCGATGTACTCATTTGCATAGGTTTCTTCGTCACCAACAACCGAAACATTTCATAACCGATAATCAGTGTTCCACCTGTTTGAGCCCAATTTTGAACAATTTTAGCACGTTGAACAAATTTCTTCGAAGTTTCATTCAATATATACAATTGATACGGACGAGTGTATCCAACATTCGGATCATCTATTGGACACCAACGATTGAACTCATTTGCCCAATTTTGTATAGTATTTATCGGTACAACAACCAGAATTGATTTTGCTGTTGTGTGACGTAGAAAAATATCAATGAAGGTGATTACCTAAGAAGAAAGAAAGCGATTCATTAATCTCGAAGTCGATATGATGCTTTTTACTTGTAGTGTCTTTCCACAACCCATGGAATGCGCAAGAATACAACCGAGACCGGGTGTTGCTTGAAAACGTTGCAGAGACTCAACGATATTGTCGTACATAAAACGTATGCCACCGATTTGATGAGGTTTAAGAACTGGGGAGAGATGTCGGGTTATATACAAATCAGGATCGTCACTCGGATGATTCACATTCACCAAAATATTTCCTAGAAACGCAAGTCCAAATATTCAGCAGAACTTTCTAGTTTAGTTTATACCATATTCATCGGGTATATTCACCCGATCATAGACATGTAAACGTTGCAATTTCTTGGTTACATTGTCATTTACATATTCAGTGTCACTGTCGACACATTGAACATCAGAATCATTACCATCATCATCAGCAGTACTTCTATTCATATCTGAAGAAGGTTTGAACACTACAGATTATGACTGCGGATATAAGAAACATATTTACCTGAAGACTTCAGCAATGCTGAATTGTACAGTTGCTCGTTATCGTCAACATCATCATCATCACCACCTCCTTCGTCGAGTACAATGTATTCTTGTTGATTGGGCGAATGAGTCACTGGATGAACGTTGTTGTTTAGTAAATGAGCATGATCTGCATTGATTTCTTCTAATCTTTTCAATCTATCTTGTTCAGCTTTCAGTGCTGATAGTGTATCACCTTGTAATTTATCGTTGGTAAATAAATTTCGAATGTTTCTTCGCATATACGCAGGTGTTTGCTTTGACTTTTTTGCTTCAGTCGAATCTTTTTTATGTTCACGTTTACGTTTTCGTTTCTGATTATCTTCATTGTTATTCGGCAATGATAAATCTTTTTTCTCGATGCTTTGTGGCTCAGTGAATGATAATACTGGCGACGAAGAAGTAGACGAAAACGAGTACGACGACAATGGGGATGATGGTGTTTCATTAACATCGGAAACTCCCATACTCTCGTTAGGATTTGGAAACCATTCATCAAGCAGATTTGATAATGAAGAATCAACCATCATTAACAGTGAGAAAAATAAAAATCATTCCATCTAAAGAAAAATTTCATTAAGACTTCTCGTTGCCAAAATCTTATTTGTTCAAAAGTGCGATATTATCCATACGTATTTTTTATTTATTTACTACCTTTAATGGACTTGTACTTCATATATTCTGACGGCTCACTTTGATTGGATATGACGTTTTAGCCAATGATGATAGATTTCAGATGCTAGTCGATAGATGCAAGGAAGAAAACGTGTTTGTTAAAATTGTAGATAAGAGTATCTACTTTCCATATACGGAGTATCAGACCATACTATTGATTTAGTTAAATGTATATTGCAAATAATTATACGCGACTGAGATCAGACTTCGTCATCGTATTGAAATTAATGTATTTTCACTGTATACGCAATGAGGAAGTGCAAAACAGAACTATGAGTTAACTGATGTGTTATGACTATGTGTACGTGGAAGTAATGCTTGACTAAAGTAAGTTTCATACTGTAGCACACATAGTAATATAAACGATGAAATTACTCCGAATAACTACGGATACGTGGATGGTTAGAGTTAATTTTTCTACATCGTCGTATATTAAATATTACAGTTATTAAACTATTTATGAATACGGAGCAATATTGATGAGTTTTCTCTTCCATTTCAACACCGCATTAAATAAGAGTAGCTGAGGGGAAGCATTTATTTTATAAACAATAGAAGTCATATACTATGCCGAAGCTTTTTCGTATTTGCCGACTGTTATCAGCTTTATGCGTCATACGGTTAACCGAACGGAATAAACTGATGACAAATGGTAAGTTTATCTTGACTTATGAACTATAAAATACTACGGCACCTGTCTTCGTACTGGTTGATGGCTGTGCACGATTTGTGAGTTCAACTATCTATTCTGTTACGATTGGTTATTTTATTCAAGCCAATACTATTTTCCACTTGACAAAATTCATCATGATTCGATTCGTATGAATAATTCTTAACTGTGTGTTGTGTTTGTGATATTTCAGATGCAGTCATCGAATAGCACATCGCCTTTACTGAATCATGCTATGAGAGTTCGTGCAAAGAATGTTGAACTACGAAAGAAAATTGCACAGTTAGAAAGCGATGTTCAATTCGTTGAAAAGGATATCTTGACATTAACGCATACATACGATGATCTCGCTGAACAATGTCAAGTTCTACGGGAAAAACAAACAGATAAGAAAAAAGATCTTCTTTTACAACAATGTCAAACTCAATTCGATCACTACATCAATGACATAGAGAATTATATTCTTAACAAACAATGGAATCTTCCAATAATCGAAAAAACATCTGTCCTATGTAAGATTATCCTTTGTACTTTTAAAGCTTAGGATTAAAAGTTCAGAAAATCCACATCTCACCCGCGTAGATAACGCGCAAATGAAATTTTCTAATCATAAATAGAGCCGTGATTAACACCAACATAAACTTAATGCATACAAGCCAACACGAGCATAAACTCCATTTAAGTGTTGACTAGAATTGGAAATTTTTTTTTTCTTCTTTTCTAGCCCCGAAATTAACATCAACGATCTCTTCCGATCATAAAACAGACGACCTGCCAGTTCCAAATCTAAACGATGTTCTCAATCAACAATTAGAATCTGTAGAAAACTGGCTGATGGAAAGTGCAGTAACAGATATCGATAAGCAATCGCCGATATTAATCGAACCTCAGCATATGGATGATGGCGCAGATGATTTATACAAAGATTTGATCTTTCCGGCAATATCTGACGATATTCCTACTCATACTGAAGAAATTCAACTCGATGAAAATGATCGGCAGGAAGATTTTGTCAAAACCATCTCACCAAAAATGTCCCAAGAGCCACATCAACGGCTCGATAAAAACCAGCGTCGATTTGCATTAATGAGACAACTAGCTGAAAAATCGAACAAAACAGTTACTCGAAAATTATTATAATCTGTCTTTCAAAGAATTTTCTTTCTTCTTCTTTTATATATCCTGAGTATTCATGCAGATAAACATTCATTTCTAATGGTTACTTCGAAATAAATCATTATGAAAATAGTTTGTTTACTTCTTCTTTTTATTACAGAGGAAATTACCACAAATTGATTAGTTTTTTTTTCCTGAGCAAAATTTCACACTCAGAGAAATGGTGAAAAAGCATCTAATTGCTTATTTTGAAAATTTTCGTTAGCAAACGTCCCAGTAGTTATCGAACATGATAGACATAACGATTTAACTGATAAACTAATTGTCCAGTAGTCGAACTTGGCAAGGCACGAAGACACGATGAGTACGTTTCGAGTTTCAACGAAACTGCATAACCAACGTAGTTTGACGTTACAGTTTCATTACAAAGGTAATTTGGGTTGATCAGACTATTCTCCGATGACCATTGAAAATAATTGACGATGGGATTCGTCGTAGCAAAAAAGATCGATGTCCAATTGAAAACACGTGCATTTTGAATAAGCAGATACGTCATCTGATAGTCGTATTCGATTGTTGGTAAACTGTAGATAGATGAAAGTACTGCATACGTCCCAAAGGTCGCATTTGTTGGTAAGGGAATATAGTAACAGATTCCATCGTAGAGAAAAAAATTTTCTCCAAAGCATAATTCGCAAGTTGATGTTTGACCAGACCAATATTGAGTATTAACCAACGGACAGTGACAATAATTATTAATACAGTTCAAATTGGAGTAACATTGTTGACTATTGTTACAGAAGGAACCATTATTTAGACGTGAATGACATATTTGTCCATTCCAAAACGAATTTTGACTGCAAACGCATTTTGAATTAGTTGTATTACAAATTAACGATGCTGAACTATCACAATCGGAACTAGTAATGCAGTATTGACCATGTGTAGAAGAATTGGTGCACCTATTTCCATTCCAAGACTGTCCTACCAGACAGGTGCATACATTTGATCTAATACAAGATTTTCGGATTCAACATCAATTAAAATGCTTCTATGAAATTCAAATTACCTGCAAACAAGTCCGCTCACACATTGACTTGCTAAGGTACACGGTTGTACAGCGTTGTAGGGTAACTTGGGATTACATGTAGTTTGATTGTAATAGCTATCGGATGGGCAATCGCACTGGTATGTACTTTTTGAACAAGTTAAGTATTCCATACAAGAATCACTTTGTGAATTACACATTTGACCAAAAACGAGTCGCTCTTGGCAATGATTGTCTGTGTAATACATACCTATTGTACAATCACAGAATGAACCATTCCAAAACATATTATTTAAACATGCACACTGATTTGTAACTGTACTGCAATATAGTCGTAATGTTCGATCACATTCGATGATGGGAGATGTTGTGATGAAATCAGTTGAGCAACTATCGTTGTACCACCGTAAATAGTTGATGGTTACCGATGGTTTTCGTAGGAATGCAATCATGAGGATAATAAATAGAGTGATTAACACAAATGCATAACAATACCAAAAGATTCGAGCATCTTTTCGGGAATAACAACAGTAGAACCGAATATTTTTCCATGCTGATTTGTTTACTATTGATCGGAGATGATTTTGAAAAGTTTGTGCATCTGCCATTGTAAGTTAATGTTAGGCGGTTCGATCGAATCGAAAAAGAACCTGTTGTGCTTTTGCTTTCGAATAACATTATTTTATGCATGAAATCATAGAAATCTTTCAATTGAATTTGTCTTAAATTGAATATAAAATAAAATAATCTTATTTGATGAAATCTTACGAATTCGCCCGAAAGAGAACTCACATGATCTAAATAGAAAAGAAAGTAACAGCATATCGTTTAAGCTATACGTTTCACATAAGATTTGCCTTGGATGGTACATATCTATGTGTCCTTTATCGCTCAAGTACACTGTGCGGAAACGCTACGTGTTCATGTGTGCCTCGTTCATTGATGAATACCTTATATTGCCAAAACGGAAGATAAACATCATTTCCAAGAGTGATTGAGTGCATTTTTTATGTTGTCGTATTATCGAGAGTCATTCATTATCGAAAGAAAATGACACGCAATTCGTGATAATGAATGGGTTCGAATCGTGTACTCACCGTGCAGAAAGTACACATTTCTTCAATCGAATGTATTTCTGTATAGACAAAATGCTTTTATTCTAAACTCCATAAAATGAGGATCACATCATGTTGTTTTCATGTTGAAAGAAAAAATTACATAACTTATGACAGTAGTTATCAATTTCCCAAAAGAGCAGACGCATAGTATGACATCGGAGAGCAGAAGTTCAATTGATTATTGATGAATTAGATTTCTCACGAATGTTCTTGCAAAGGCGCCAACGTCGTTAGTTACAACTGGATTAATGCCAATCATGTTGGCGGCAGCTCGAGATGCTTCTGCAAATCCGTGCGTTGGCTGAAATTGGTGCATACCGCCAAAAGCTGGTTGAAGATGGCTTGGATGAGAATGGTATGAACGATTGCCGTTGTTGACATAAGCCTGCATTTGGGCAGCAATGTTTTGGTAGTGCATGCCAGTGGCTGGACTCATTCCAGTAGGTAGACTCATTGTCGGGTGATAACTGAGAAAGAAACGACGACGAAGATGGTGATTACTTTACTTTGTGTTTTATTTCACTATCGAACGTCGTAAATATAGGCGCAAGACGCCTGACCAAATGATGCCTTCATAATGTCATGCATTCAAGCATAACGACAGGGGAGAAGGAGAGAGAAAAAAACTAATTAACCATGAATCATATCTATTGGTAAAACACAGTGCCCTCAAAATCAGGAAGTAATGACAATAAATGATCGCATCTGGATGTATGATTTCGAAAGAAAACTATGCTTTTTTTCTATTTGTTTGTTTCTCTTTCGCTGTGCTAAAGGACGAACAAAAGCCAGAAGAGAAGATTACACGATAGGAAATTCAACACAACAGAGTTAACAGTCAATCTAAAACACATGCATTTAGATTGGACAGGGAACAAACGATTACAGTCAGTGTTACGA